ACCCCCCCCCCCCCCACCCCGTGCAAACTGTTCAGACCAGACAGATGTTACATAGAATTTTCAAGACCAGTACATTAATTCTTCACTGATCACAAGTGATGATGAAAGTGTCATCTAATTTAATGAACTTGAATTTATGTAATCCAAACAAATAAGATACCTGTGTTTAAAGCAAGTAAGTCAGCAGTAAAACTACCTACCAGGTACCCTAAAATCAGGTGATCAACGGGTATACCCTTCAAGATTACCTATCGTTGAAACTAAAATATCTTACTGCACAAACTAAATACCAGTCTTATGTTTGAAAACTGGATAACTATTGGTAACATAACCCTGGAAATTTGTTTTGTCCTCAGAAAGAGTTAACAGTATTGTGCGAAAAAATATAATCGAAATTGTTTCAGGAAACAACAAGTCCTGTCATATTCTGAAGTCACGAGTTATTATAAAATTGCTTTTGCCATGACAAAGAAAAATATATTATGTAAATATTACACCTCTAGATTTTTCAACAAAGCGATGTTGGTGAATGACCAACATATACATATCTAGTTGGTAGCTGTTAGAAAACAGACCAAGCCTAGATAATTCCTCTCCCATGTCAAGTACACTGGTTAAATATTGTTAATTATTATGATATTGAGCCTTATAGTCCTTTGAGAAAAGGTTACCTTTTCATCATTCTATTTCACCTTTTTTCGTTAAGCTTTTAGTTTTTTCTCTCTGTTAAACTGCAAAGTATTTAATCATGTTGGAGGCAGAAAAAAAAGAGATAGATGAAATTGTAGTCAATCTGACTCCATATAATTCACAATTTTTATTTGTTTTCGGCCATGGAACCTTCATGCACGATTTTCATGAAATAGTTAAGCAGTTTGTAAAGGGAAGTTGAGAATGTGATTTTGTTTTGTTTAAATGGACGACACATGATGAAGGACAAAAGCATTGTCTCGGGTGACTTAAAATAAAACTCGTGAAATTTGACAATGTGAAACCAAGCCTTGCCTAATATACACTAGCCTAATTCCTCATGAATAATATAAACATATCCTAAAGTTTTGCAACATGACCCATATTTAATTAAGCAATGAATGTTTTAGCAAATGTTGCTATGGTCCAACAACACACATTGCTATTGATGGCAAACTTAATAAAGCCTGATAGGGCCAAAAAAATTTGATTACTTGGTTCTCAGGCCTGCGCGCATTTCATGGCACCGTGCGCATTGCTGATTTTATCGTGAAAGTAATAAAAAAAAAATGTGAATGCGCCAGCCGCCATCTTTAAAAAAAATCTGGAAAATTGGTCCGCATGTCGTTTTTACTCGTTTGTCACCCAAGTCGCGAAAACGTTTGAATAAAGGTAAGGATTGAGATACAGGCAAGCGTTAAAATGATTATGACTTATTAGTCTTGTGTACAAATGGCCCTATTTCGGTAAAAATAAGGAATGGGGGGGGGGTTAGTGATTCTCGTCTGGGACATCGTGGGGGGATTTTCGGAGGCTTGCTCTATGACGGGTCTCTACACAACTATAAAAAGACAAGGTAATGTCCACAATGAACGTTTTACAAACTACACAATGAAAAAAAAAATCGCCCTCATCTCGTTTTTGCCATGTAAAATGAAAAAAAAAATATACTGCCCTGCCGCATCTATTTTGAAAAAAATTGCCCTGAGAACCAAGTAATTAATTTTATTTGGCCTAGGGCTTAAATAAGTTTGTCAGCAATAGTAATGTGTGTTATAGAACCATAAAAATATTTGCTAAAATATTCATTATTTATATTTATATTTTAATAGAATAGTTAGCTTTATTTAGTCATTTTGAACCGCAAATCTAGTGTTGACAACAATGAAATTGCTGACATCACAATAGATTGATAATGTTACAATAGCAAATGTTGTTGTAGTCTCATAACAACATTTGCCTTCACAATGCATTACAATGGAAGGATGCAGAGCAAATGTAGATATTGTCCTTTAACCAGAGATGGTGTCAAACCCACCAAATGCTCGCCTTTTAAAATGTTATCGTATTTAAAAATTTGTTTGTAAAAGTATTAAGTTCAAAACAGGTCAAAAGTCAAAAACATTTGAAATTATTTTTTAATTTGAACTTCACTTCATCAATATTTTTACCCAACAGGAACCTTTATGCAAAATATCAGCATCCTAGTACACATATTTAATGAATGACAAGCTTCTAAATAACTTGCAGTTAAAACTTTAACGTTGATGTGGTTTAAAAAAGTTAAGTACAAAACAATTGGAAAATTTCAAAAAGAGTGAAATTTATAGATTTTAACTTCACTACATCAATAACATAATCCACAGGAACCTCCATGCTAAATAACTTGCAGGTAAAACTTTAACAGTTATTTTCACGATGATGCTCACGCCGGGGGTAACGCTATAGCTCTCTGTTCTTTGAACAGGTGAGCTTAAATTGCTGCACAGAATATAAATGTATATGAACCTGTAAGTTCACACGCTGATAAATGTGGGTGTAGGCAGATTTACCTTCCTGTTGCGCTCCATGTGTTTACGGATGTTCACAGCCTTCTTGATGAGATGGTACAGATCCTCGGGGATATCTGCTGCCAGGCCTTTGGCTTTAAGGATACGCAGAATTTTGTTCCCGGTTACAAATCTCACTTGTGCAACTCCATGGGAATCCCTTAGGATGACACCTACAAAGCGTGTGATAAAACATTACAAGCCGACCTTTCCCTAGCTCAAGATTAATCTGGGTAATTTTTATAGCTGTTTATGTGTACCATTTGCCCTTCAGATTAAAAAAAACACTGATTTTTCGAAATTTTGCTTTTAATTTGATTCAAATTGGTAAAGTTATTTTCTCTAAAACTAAAAGACCAAGTACATGGTTAAAGAGATCTAAGCAGTTAAATTAACTAACAGGAGTTAGAAATACAGTTCTTAGACACTAATAAGCGAATTTTCACAAAAAGCAAGTAGTAAACTGGGTTTTTTCGAAGTTTTGAATTTGTGCTCAAAAAACAAAGTTTTGGCTTAACTTCTTCGCTCCATCACATCAATAAATCTTAAGTAAATGTCCTACGTATACATGCAATGTCTTCAAAGATGAAGTTAAAGAAAAATGACATATGACTTTCTAAATAGATTTTCTGGGGTTTCTTGGACCATTTTGAAAATTATGAATAAGGTACGGCTTCAGAAATTCTGTTGAATATTGACAGTGACAGTCATTGGAAATAAGCCAGTGCACAACACAAGCTATGTAGACACTAGACAGCCATACATACCAATCTGGGATGGGGTGAGTCCCTTCTTCGCCAGTTTAAATATTTGTTCCTGCACATCATCTGATGTCAGCTTCAGCCACTGAAATTCAAAGAACATGTTTATCAAATTTTTCAATACTGTCATTTCTTTTAACATCAATAAAACATCCCCTATTGTAAATTTCCAGTTTCATGTTGCTACTTCATTATATTAATCAAATTTACATTTCTGTTGTAAAGCATTTCAACTCAAATGACATCATACATGTGCATGATTAAAAAACAAATTATAAATAACTTATATGTCAAACATTCTGGGTTCAATCATGGCAGATTGTCGTTATGACAAAATTTTGACCATAATCCCATAATGAGGTGCTTGCTGCAAACAATTAATTTAAACGTTGCATGTCTCGACCATGCTGCTTAGGCTATGGAGAATTTTTCATTTAACTCTACCAGTAGACTAAATTATCAGAATATAAAAAACCTAAAGACCCTTGGTTTGATACCTAGTAGAGATATTAACATATAATGACCTGCTACTTTAGCACCCAGGTAGGGACCTGGGAAATAGTAACAATTATGTTAAGCCTTGTTCTCACAATAATCACCTCAACCTTTAGAAGCTTGAAGTGTGTCATCTTGGTAAATCATTAGCTGCTTCCTACCAACATGGTTCAAACGAGGGATCATCAGACTAGTAAACTAGAAGTCCAGAGTTAGATCCCTGGAGGAGGCATTGAAAAATGACCAAAATAGAACTTTTACTTACTGTAGGGACTGATCTTCTGTAAGGAAGAGCTGACTGGGAAATACCCTTTCTGAAATGAACAAAATAAAACAAAACTGATAAAATGTAACTAAATATGATGAGCCTACTGGTAATTTTTTAAGTCTATTTTAATATACATATTATTAAAAAGTTTAAGTGTTTTTTTTCTTAATTTCTACATTCTGCATAAAAGTCTACCACCATTTTAAGTTACTGTTCCTCTTATTACAAGTACTAAGATCTTGAATCTATTACCTTCACAATGTAGGCAGTAGGACAAAGGCATTACACTATACAACTACACAGATGCAATATATACAGAACAGAACAAAAAAATAAGTTCTACTTTAATTGGTATATGCTCTTGTGGTTTAAGTTTGTGACTAGAATGACATACACGTTTTTGAAAAAAGTCAACAAAAATCCCAATCAAGAGTGTTTTCAAAAAATACTTTCAAGAGAAGTAAAATTTAAGCCCCCATCCAAATAATTGAGACCAGGCACTGAATCCTGTAAGGCAGGGAGAAAGAAAAAGAATCTCTAATTAGAAGAAAAAAAATAGATCATAAAATGAACGAGAGCTAAAGGGAAATTCCCTCTAGCTCGAAGCTAGAATGCGACCTTAATCCTATGTACAATTAAAACCTGCCACACTTGTTTCGTTGGATAAACATGATTATAGTATATAGTAAGGGTAACAGGCACAGACTGGACAGAGAGCAATTCAGATAACAGGAGATGGAACATGCAGCCAGACCAGGGACCTCCGAACTGTTGACAAACGCATTAACAAATGGAGCTAAACTGGTCGCTTGTGATTGATCCATTTCAGTTCTGGTTACACTACTCTTCACCCAGGACCTCCCAACTACAGAGGGTCACTCAAGAAATTGAGCGACACTGGTGACAGGTAATCAATCTAGTACAATTTTATTCCATTAGACATGATTTTTTAGTGTTAGTTCCATACATAACGGACTCTACATTTGTCTCTTCATTGTTAAAAGCATTGTTTACATCAATACAACATCAACATATTCTGACGTGTGTTCTCTTTTAACGTGTCACATCAGTTAAAATAAACAAGTTTTAATCAATTCTGGTTTTGAATGGTTTAATGATGTACCATTGACATGATATAATAAAGCCATCCAATTTTCAATAAAAAGTATAAAGATGAATTTAACGACTGAATTGAAGGCCGAACAGCTAACAAATAGGCCTACAGCAGCAATATCACCCCCCCCCCCCCCCCCCCTTCTTTTCCAAAAGGAAACAACAGAAATGGATCACATTATTACTGTCATCAATCAGCTCTCGTTATCATTAGTCTGCAGAGAAATGACAATAAAGAGAGACCGACCTTTCAAAATCAACACATCAATTAACAGTATACCTATATACACGGTTTAACACATCTTAACAGTCGCAAGTCACCCACGTGGGAGACGATCTAAACTAAGCTATAGGTCCTATTATCTATTAAATATCTGTTGAAATAAAGTATATACCAGGTATATTTTGGTTTCGATACTTCATTCATTAAGTAATAGGTTAGACAAACAAAATTTTAATTGGATTTTTATGATGAAATTGTGTTTTAAATCCGAGGAAAGCATACCCGGGATTGTGCATACGACCCATGATGGCAGCGTGATGAGAAAGGCCCGGATGACGGAAGTGCCGACCGATGCGACCTCGTCAGTTCTTTCAAGGGAAGTAACTGTTTGCTAGATTTTACAATTAATAAATGATACCTTTTCAAAACGAAGCAATTTTGAATTATCTTCATAATTTTGAATGTCTAATTTGGTTATACCTCTCGCTAATGACCTTGCTATAATACACATGATATTAAGTATAATTTATATGCGTAACTCAAGAATGACAAGCCGTTTTAAAATATTTTTTAATAAATGATCCTCATAAATTACGTTTATATGCACTGGAATTCTATTTTCCCCGATATATAATCGCACTATAATTTTGATCAATTACTTTCGAAAAGAACGGCATGTAATGCGGGATTTTATCCGAAAAAAGTAAGAAAGATAAAATAAGTTATAAGAAATAAATAATAGTGTTCTGAGGGTAAAAGTATTACAGGGCAGGATTCAAACTTGGCATAAGATCAGGGTGTCAAAAGTTTATTTCCAATCATATTCACGTTACCTATACTTTAAACATCGTATTTACGGTATCCAAATCAGTCAATGTTAGTGTTAAGTTACATTTTTTTCCCGCAACTTTTTGTTCCCTCTAGATTGGTAAAGAGTAAGCTTGGGAGTGTAAAAGTACTGTCCTGAGTTTGACCCCTGCAGGTTTTTTTTTGTGTGTGTTTCTATTTGAAGCATTGAAATATTAAGCAACTATGTATAATTCTTTTAATATATGTATCGAAACATGTTTCAACATTTAAAATTCTTCTTTTGAAAAAATACCAAACCAAATATTTCACGTCAGCGACAGTAGAATCATAGTCTAGTTTAACTCGCTGGTTCCCTTTATGGAGATATGGAGATTTTTTCTGAGGATGTGGTACGTACGTATACAGTTCAACAACCTTTTCGGTCCTTGTGGTTTAACTTGACCTAGCACGGAGTTAGATTAGAAGGACTTTGGTTTTCGCCATGCTTCGCTTGGCGTTCTGACAGGCTATAGAACAATAGCGATATGATATCCAATATTGTTAAGCCAATTTTTTCACAAAGAGGGATATCTGGTAAACATATAGCGTCAAATTTGTCCTCGCTATTGAAGTTAGAAATTACAGCAATTTCTGCAGTCTAGGTGCATGTGCTGCATCATTTTAAACTTCGCTCCAACATTTTAGGGTTTAGAATAAGTTCGTAATATCCTATTAAATTTTCCAATAAAAAAATCAAAGGTGATAGTAAGTTATTTCGGACTAGGTCGTCAGAACATATCACGCACGACAAGCTAGGCTACTCATTCATTCTTTATTAAGCAAAAGCCCTTAGGCTTATAGGTACATACATATTTAAGGATTAACTTGAATATTTTTTTTTTTATGTTATGGAGCTATAACACACAAAAAACGGAGTGTACTCTAAATAAACCGCGAGCGGTTTATGATGAGAGTACACTCCGGTTTTTGTGTTATAGCTCCATAACATAAAAAATATATTCAAGTTAATCCTTTTAATTTAATCTACTATACACGATCCCTGTGGAAATCAATTTTTATTTATGGACTCTATTCTCTTAGAAATTATTACGCCGCTGTATCAGCCAATCAAAAGCGACGTTACAAACGGCGACGTCATTTTTTTATGTTATGGGCTGATGACATTTTTTTTAGGCCAATGAAAAGTATTTTTTACAAGCGAGATTAAATTATTTATATATATCATTCTCTAAGCATAATAAGGATAGACAGGAGAGCTACGTCACAGTATACATAACACACCGTCCATCAATGTAAATATAACAATACTTAATTAACAATTACAGCTATGAAACACCACAATATATAAACCTATAATTAACGCCTCTTTAATGCCAAATATAAATACTCATTAGCGAGCTTACAACTGCTTTTTCCAGGGACTCTTTGCGTATTGTAATCTAATAGCTGAAAAAGCGGAACAAATTTATTTCAGTTAAGATCCTTTACTTGATCCATATAGACACCATATTGTTGCTGAAATAAATGCTACCGGTGGCTGCAACTTAAGATAACTAATTAAGTATATCATGATTGTTTGTGATAGAACCCTTTCTAGCGGATGACAAAACAATTATTTTAGCATAAAACATAACACATCGTGACTAACAACACAGATGTTTTAAAGGAGGGTTTATGAGATAGATTTTTTAGTTGACGACAGAAATAAAAAATGAGGAAATTGCGATAACAAAACTTCAATTTTTCATAATCCAAGAGGACTACTTGCAACTATCCTGTTTTCCCCCCGATCAGTCTTTTAATGAAATATGCACAGCTACAGACAGAGGATAACATATATAGGACATTTGAGAAAGATCTCTTGATAACTTTTTAAAAAAATAGCGGTAATAAACTTGAACTGTCAAAATGCGAAAAGGCTGCCTCGTGGCCATCTTCTTTTCCCGACCAGTCTGGAAATGAGTCATGCAAAACTTTGGACAAAACAGAAAAACAAAAACAAACTTTTCTAAAAATTTGTGAAAATAAATCTGTCAAGTCCTTTTCGAGAAATAACGATAACGAATTTGTACTGACAAAATCAAAGTTGGCTGCATAGTCGGCCATCCTCTTTTCCCAATCCGTCTTTAAACATGCGAAACTCAAGACAAAGGGCAACTACTTATGAAACAGGAAAACATCCAATAGAGAGACTGGAGTATATTTATATATACCTGTGATACAGAAACTGAAGTAAATACATCTGATACACAGACTTGAGTATATACATCTGATACAGAGACTGGAGTATATGTCTGATACAGATACTGAAGTAAACATCTGATACAGAGACTGGAGTATACATCTGATTTAGAGACTGGAGTATACATATGATATAGAGAATGGAGTATACATCTGATACAGGGACTGGAGTATACACCTGATACAGGGACTGGAGTGTACATATGATACAGAGACTGGAGTATACATCTGATACAGAGACTGGAGTATACATCTGATACAGGGATTGGAGTATACACCTGATACAGTGACTGGAGTATACATCTGATACAGTGACTGGAGTATACATCTGATACAGAGACTGGAGTATATATCTGATACAGAGACTGGCGTATACACCTGATACAGATACTGAAGTATACATCTGATACAGATACTGAAGTATACATCTGATACAGTGACTGGAGTATACATATGATACAGGGACTGGAGTATACATCTGATACAGGGACTGGAGTATACACCTGATACAGTGACTGGAGTATACATCTTATACAGTGACTGGAGTATACATATGATACAGAGACTGGAGTATACATCTGATACAGGGATTGGAGTATACACCTGATACAGTGACTGGAGTATACATCTGATACAGGGACTGGAGTATACACCTGATACAGTGACTGGAGTATAAATCTGATACAGTGACTGGAGTATACATCTGATACAGAGACTGGAGTATACATCTGATACAGGGACTGGAGTATACATATGATACAGGGACTGGAGTATACATCTGATACAGAGACTTGAGTATACATATGATACAGAGACTGAAGTATACATCTGATACAGTGACTGGAGTATACATATGATACAGGGACTGGAGTATACATCTGATACAGGGACAGGAGTATACATCTGATACAGAGACTTTAGTATACATCTGATACAGATACTACATCTGATACAGATACTGAAGTATACATCTGATACAGTGACTGGAGTATACATCTGATACAGAAACTGGAGTATACATCTGATACAGAGACTGGAGTATACATCTGATACAGAGACTGGAGTATACACCTGATACAGGGACTGGAGTATACATATGATACAGAGACTTGAGTATACATCTGATACAGAGACTGGAGTATACATCTGATACAGGGACAGGAGTATACTTCTGATACAGAGACTTGAGTATACATCTGATACAGATACTGAAGTATACATCTGATACAGTGACTGGAGTATACATCTGATACAGGGACTGGAGTATACATATGATACAAGGACTGGAGTATACATCTGATACACAGACTGGAGTATACATCTGATACAGAGACAGGAGTATACATCTGATACAGAGACTTGAGTATACATCTGATACAGATACTACATCTGATACAGATACTGAAGTATACATCTGATACAGTGACTGGAGTATACATCTGATACA